TCTCAATGGGGAAAAATATCATACTGGATATCTATACTGATATGGACTGGGTAATATGTTAGGAATGTAAGAATGTAAGGATGCCCCATCATTTGATGGAAATGATCATTTTCAACCTACAGAGGGCTGAATTCAAAAACATCCCGAAAATCAAAGTGAAAAAATGATGCAGCAGGCTAGTCCATTTTGTTGAAATTTTATTGCAGCTACTCAAAATGGCACTCAGTAGTTTGCATGGCCCCCACGTGCTTGTGTTCATGCCTGACAACATCAGGGCATGCTCCTAATGAGATGATGGATGGTGTCCTGGGGTATTTCCTCCCAGATCTAGACCAGGGCATCACTGAGCTCCTGGACAGTCTCAGGTGCAACCTGGCAGCATCGGATGGACCAAAAACATGATATCCCATAGGTGCTCTATTGGATTTAGGTCAGTCGAGTGTGGGGGCCATTCAATGGTATCAATTACTTAATTCTCCAGGAACTGCCTGCATACTCTCTCCACATGAAGCTGAGCATTGTCGTGCAGCAGGAGGAACCCAGGACCCACTGTACCAGTGAAGGGTCTGACAATGGGTCCAAGGATTTCATCCTGATACCTAATGGCAGTCAGGGTGCCATTGTATAGCCTGTAGAGGTCTTTGCATCCCTCCATGGATATGCCTCCCCAGACCTTCAATGACCCACCACCAAAACCATCATGCTGAACAATGTTACAGGCAGCAATGTTCTCCACAGCTTCTCCAGACCCTTTCACATCTGTCATATGTGCTCAGAGTGAACCTGCTTTCATCTGTGAAAAGTACAGGATGCCAGTGGTGGACCTGCCAATTCTGCTGTTCAATGACAAATGCCAATTGAGCTCTATGGTGCCAGGCAGTGAGCACAGGGCACACTAGAGGACGTCGGGCCCTCAGGCCACCTTCATGAAGTCTGTTTCTGATTGTTTGGTCAGACAGTGCTCATCCTGTTCCTCCTTGCACAAAGGAGCAGATTCCAGTCCTGCTGATGGGTTAAGGACCTTCTACGGCCCTGTCCAACTCTGTTAGAATAACTGCCTGTCTCCTGGAATCTCCTCCATGCTCTTGAGACTGTGCTGGGAGACACAGAAAACCTTCTGGCAATGGCACGTATTGATGTGCCATCCTGGAGGAGTTGGACTGCCTGTGCAACTTCTCTAGGGTCCAGGTATCACCTCATGCTACCAGGAGTGACACTGACCCTAGCCAAATGCAAAACTAGTGAAAACAGTCAGAAAAGATGAGTAGGGAAACAAATGTCAGTGGCCTCCACCTGTAAAACCATTCCTGTTTTGGGGGACGTCTCATTGTTGCCCATCTAGTGCACCTATTGTTAATTTCATTAACACCAAAGCAGCTAAAACTGATTAACAACCCCCTCTGCTACTTAACTGACCAGATCAATATCCCAGGAGTTCAATTGACTTGATGCTATACTCTGAATAACAAGTGTTCCTTTAATTTTTTCTAGCAGTGTATTTACAAGGCTTTACTGCAATACAGCCTCTTTTGGAGAGCTAGTTAACATCTCCTTAATGTACCATCCCAGACCCTAGATGAACTTCTCCTCTTCACCTAGCAACAGCCACTGGTAGGTGGCTAATCTGGTTTCCCAGTGCTCCTTCCCCTATCCGCCCAGGGGGTGCATGTGTACTCACTTCGAAACTCTCATGTTCTGTTGGTGGCTTAGTGGCTGCTACCAGGCTTATCAGCTGGACCGCTACTTCTTTGTCATACAGGTGGTCCTCTCTCAGGGGGTTTGTGAGCTCTGAGCTTTCCTCTTTTCCAGCTCCAAGTCGGCAGGTAGGCCCCATCCCACTGGGCCTCTTCACAACCTCCTTCCTTCAGCCTCACATCTTCCTCACTATCTTCCACCTGAACTCTACTGCAACTGAGAAGGATCCAACACCTTTAAGGGTGTCCCAGCCCCTTGGCAAGCCTTCTGTAGGGGATTGGCTGGGGTCCCTCAAGAGTGCAGTCAGCTACTCCTCAGATCCACCCACTGCCTCGAGGGCCTTCCTCCAAAGCCCTCAGCTTCTGACTAAGATTTGACCTTCTGGCTATTACACCCAGACTGCTACTTAGCTCTCCTCACTGACAATTAAAACACTAGCCCCCTCCTAGCTAAACTTGGAGGGTGCTACACTCTATTTACATCACTCTAGTTATTTTCTGGTTGGTCTAAGGATAAATAACCTTAATTTCCGACAGGTCTTTATTTAGTCTTTATAACTGCAGCATCAGAGCATTGTCATGAAAGGGCAGATGTATGAGCTGCTGTTCCTACTGAAAGGAGTTAGTAATAGCAATCCCTGCCCTTTACCCATATGAACGGCATGCTGAAAGACCATCTTCTATTTGCTGTAACATTGAAATTTAGAAGGGAGGGAGAGTCTTTTGTTTTTTGCAGGTAAGTATTAGTTCCTCTACAATTCCTGAGAAGACCAAATACCACTAAACTAGTTTCCACTTATTATTTACCCTTCAACAACATCTCTAAGACCAAATATCAACAGGTCTAAACTAAGTGGTTGATATCATTATGTCAAATTACAGACCAAGACCGGTCAGAGTTTGAAGACACATACAAGGGATCAGTGATTTCCTCTAGTAGAGTGATACAGCTAAAATTACCCCATCATACTCATTATACCCTTGCTAGACTTTACAAAATGGGTCTACACTCCTCCCAAGCTTGTTTTGGGGGATGTTGAGAACTTGATTATTTCTGTCAGTTTCTAGACCTGTTGCTATGTCCAAGATAGTTCTGGAACATAGGTGTTGAGTACCGCATGAATATTTATACTTTCCCAGCCAATCTTTGTGGGCCCTGCACAAGTGGCTGCTGGGAAATGGGTATAAATAGTCTAAGATCTAGAGTCTTCTGGTTTTGCCCTGGAAAGGAGGAGTCCAGCCTTGATGGCCTGCTGCCCTCTGGGCAGTCCTGCCATGGGCTTGCTGTTCATGAGGCTCCAGATGGGCTAGCTAAGAGGCCTGGAAGCTGACTGAGGGTCTGGTGTGGGGTTCACTGGTAGTGGTGTCTGGAGGACATTGGAAAGAAGACATCCATTCATCTGAAGACATAGTGAGTACAGACTGTGTTAGAGAGTCCTAGAGACTGTGGGCTGCTGCTACTCCTCCTGAAGAGCTTAGTCCATCTTGTTCTGTGTTAAAGGAACTCTGCTCAAGTTACTTAAGGAAATAACTGATGCCTTAGTCTGCTTTAACTAAACAAAGTCTATTACTCACCCCTACGCGGACTGTGCTTAAAGTGCTGCAGAAGAAAGCTAGTATCCTCATCATGTACATGAGCATCCCACTCATCCCCAATTTCTATCCAGGTCACCCCTAAAATAAAAACACCAAAAAGAACACCCAGTGCCAGATTTGCATCTCAGGAGCCTATAGGGAGATAATTCTGAACAAAAAAGACAGTAAGGCCAACTTTTTCTCTTGATAATGTATTTTTATATAACTATTTTTACATGTGTAAAGGAGAATGCTGCAGACTTTAATGTAAAGGGGAACACTGAGGACAGTGATGTTTTTGTTTTTTTTTTTTTTTATTATTTTGATTGAATGATTGAGTGGGGTTGTCCTTTAAAAGGGAAGTGCTATTTAGTACAACTACAGAAACTAAAGTTTTTTAGTCAACCAGTATCTGCACAAAACCATTTCTGTTTTGATGCTTTTACAAACCATTATTTCTGCTTTTTTCTAAATTATGTATTGTGTTTTTGCATTATACATTGTTTGTATGATTATTCTTTAATAAACTGCACCATTTAAATGTTTAAAAAACAAACATAAAAATTATTCAGACGCCTGAATCTTCAATAATGAGACTTAAAGAAGAAGTACAGCCAAATCACATTTGGCTGTATTTCTGTGAATCACAGGACTCCTGTGACCCATTTTCAGCCAACAGCGGGCTAAAGTCTGCTGTCGGCTGACAATCATTCAGCAGGTCCAAGCTTGGTAAAGAGCCTGACTTTAAAGTTGGGATCCACCCAAAGGTCTGGACCGATCTGCTGAAAGCCTGAGCCAACTGCTCCCACCCCCTCCACATCCCAGCACTCCAGTGAGCATGGGGAGCAGAGCAGAGAGTGGCAACTGACAGTTAGCAGCGCTCTGCTCACAGAGCACTGAGAACCGAGCAACCAGTGTTTTCTGATTGCTCAGTTCTCAGTTTTAGAACAAGCGAGGGACAGATGCAGCATCAGACCAATGCTGCATCCCCCTATGTAAGTACACTATATTGCCAAAAGTATTGGGATGCCTGCCTTCACACACACATGAACATAAGGTTCACTATTGAGTTGGCCTACCCTTTTCAGCTATAACCGCTTCAACTCTTCTGGGAAGGCTGTCCACAAGGTTTAGGACTGCGTCTATGGGAATGTTTGACCATTCTTCCAGAAGCGCATTTGTGAGGCCAGGCACTGATGTCAGATAAGAAGGCCTGGCTCGCAGTCTCCGCTATAATTCATCCCAAAGGTGTTCTATTGGGTTGAGGTCAGAACTCTGTGCAGGCCAGTCAAGTTCCTCCACCCCAAACTCACTTATACGTGTCTTTAGGGACCTTGCTTTGTGCATTGGTGTGCAGTCATGTTGGAACAGGAAGGGGCCATCCCTAAACTCTTCCCACAAAGTTGGGATCATGAAATTGTTCAAAATGTCCTGGTATGCTGACGCCTTAAGAGTTCCCTTCACTGGAACTGAGGGGCCAAGCCCAACCCCTGAAAAACAACCTCACACCCTATTCCCCCCTCCACCAAACTTTACACTTGGCACAATGCAGTCAGGCAAGTACCGTTCCCCTGGCAACTGACTAACCCAGACACGTCCATCAGATTGCCAGACAGAGAAGTGTGATTCATCTCTCCAGAGAACACATCTTCACTGCTCTAGAATCCAGTGGCAGTGTGCTTTACCCCACTACATACAACGCTTTGCATTGTACTTGGTGATGTAAGGTTTGGATGCAGCTGCTGGGCCATGTAAACCCATTCCATGAATCTCTCTACACACTGTTGTGCTAATCTGAAGGCCACATGAAGTTTGGAGGTCTTTAGCTATTGACTCTGCAGACAGTTGGCGACTTCTGCGCACTGTGCGCTTCAGCATGTGCTGACCCCGCTCTGTCATTTTACATGGCCCAACACTTTGTGGCTGAGTTGCTGTTGTTCCCAGTTGCTTCCACTTTGTTATAATACCACTAACAGTTGACCGTGGAATATTTAGTAGCAAGGGATGGACTTATTGCACAGGTGGCAACCTATCATGGTACCACTCTTGAATTCACTGAGCTCCTGAGAGCAACTCATTCTTTCACAAATGTTTGTAGAAGCAGTTTGCATGTCTAGGTGTTTGATTTTATACACCTGTGGCCATGGAGGTTATTGAAACACCTGAATTCAATGATTTGGAGCGGTGTCCCAATACTTTTGGTAATATAGTGTATGATTTCTGAAAAAAAAAACTAAACTTCTCTTTTAAAGTGACATAAAACTCTGGTAGAACATATACATGTATATACTATTCAAGTATGCATTCTTAACTCAGAAAGTATCTTTTGTTGTGCTCAGTCAACTCCAGATACCTTTTTTTTGCTTCTGTGATCAAGCCTCCTGTTAGGGAGTGGCTACATTCATTCTCCATGGTCCCTCTGTATGCAGGATTGCAGCCACCCTCCCTTGCTCACTCCTGAGAAAGACCAAGGACTGTACACCATGAGGTCTGTAGGATTCATATGTTTGCATGGGGGAATTACATGATGGTTGTATTGTATTGTTACACATGACCAGAGGCCAAGCTACTTTGCCAGACCCCACATATGGAGGATTAATATGCTTTACACTTGCAAATGACACCTGTCCTGGCACTGATTACAGAGGGTTTTTTTGTGCAGAATAGCATTTAGCATTGATTTCCTCCCAGCTCTTCTTACATGTTACATTTTGTCATGTTCAGCCCGAAGGCAAAGAGGAGAGCCACCAAACATTCTTTGTGAGGCCTCGCACACTATGGTTCCAGGCCAAGTCCCAAGGACGGTTCCGTTCCACAGCGGGCCCTTATAGAGGGACCCAGCTGCAGGTTGAGTCTCCTGCCAGGCCCCCCCCTTCTATAGAACCTCTTTCACCACTGTTCCCTCCCCCAAACTGGCTGCTCCTTCTTCCTGTTAACACTTTATACACTCTTCAACACCCAGAGGGTTAACCTGAAAGTTGACACTTTGTTCCTCAGTTCACATATAAACTGTAGAAGCATACTTTCTCTTCTTTAGAAATCAGACCAGATCAGGGGCGGACTGACCATTTGGAAACTCGGGCACTGCCCGAGGGCCCAGGGTCAGTAGGGGGCCCCATGAGATGCCCCTGGTACCTTTTTCATAGGATTTTTTAGTTTGGGTAAGGACACAGGGGCCCCATGATCCCCTATTGCCCGGAGGCCCCATGAGTTGTCAGTCCGCCCCTGGACCAGATCTTGTACTTAACCAATAAATCTTTTTCTAAAGTAATTCAGTTGTACATTCAGTTCTTTAGTAGTTTCCACAGGAACACATTAAGGTGAAGCATCCAGAAAAACATAACATTTTCCTCTCCTTTGTAACAAGTGCTGGGACTATGGTGAATTTAGTGATTGTTACCAATAATGGAAATTAAAAATTTAGACCTTTTTCTTCAGTTAGAGTCAAGGTCCCCACTATCCACTACATCTGCACGTGTATGGTCTCACTCCCTGCTCCCAAGACAACATGAGGTTCCGTCTCTTCCTGCATTTATCCTTTCAAAAATGCAGTGACACATGCAGGGGGAAGACACATTACAGCACAATATTAAACCCTGAACAGCAAGACATTAACCCTCGAGTGAATGTCACAAATAACAGATAGGCACTTGCCTACACACAGAGCAATGCACTTGAATGCAACTAAAACGCCCTGCTTGTTTTAAATAAATGGAAGAAAGTGGGATAAGGAGAGGTTCAGAGGCTCACATAGAATGTTATGAGGCAGAAAAACATAGTAAGAAACAATTTCATGAAAAATATATTACATGGCAATTACGTGATTTTTTTTTAGATAATAAGGATATCTTTTAGTGTTACCTTAACCTTTAGTTTAATCCCCTTCTTTTTTTCTCAGTAGCAGCATTACAGAACAATTCTAGAAGCCAACTGAGTAAGCCACTAATGCTAACCAGAAAACATTGCAGCTGTGCGTCTCTCAAAAAGTCCTCTGCATTTACATTGATCTCAGTTCATTGCAATACCTGGCAGAATAAGCATTCAAACATCTAAACAGGATCAATAAGGGGACCTGAAGTGTTTACTGTGTAATGTCCAATCTCTCTGCTTCCTGCATCACCAATCACACTTCATCATGGGATTTAATCTAACTGGAGACTATGAGAAACTGCTGTCAATTTTGTACATTAGACTTTCTGTACTTGAGAGTCTCAATTCACTAACTCCAAAGCCAACCTGTCACCACCCACAGGTGTTCATGTTGCAGCTGAGTCTCAGCATGATCAGTGCGCTGTTTTGCACCCCATGTTTGCTTTATCTGTGCAACTGTATGGTAGAGGCACAAGGGTGCCTGGTGTAATCAGGAACCCTGATAGTAAGAGGATACACTGTAGATCCCTGTGTAGCTGCTAGAGGCCCTCAGAGTAGTGAGTGGGGTGTGACCATACATAGTGAGGTAATGCCAGTGCTGCCCTTGCTAGTGTGGGGCATCTTGGAGCAGAGCACTCAGTAAAAACAGTCTGGTGGGAGTTAGCCTGGGTCGTTGGTCATCATGGGAAGCTTTTCAAGGACCAAGACAAATATGTAATATGTTAGAATATAGGTTTTGGGAGCTTCCCATTAGGCGGAAGCATAGAAGGAGAGTTGCAGGAGCACATACATCCTCTTTGAGTGGGATCAAGGACAAAACCTCTAAGGTATGGGCTGCTTCTCAACTTGGCTTTTATCTCTCACGTACAGGCTATACGCTTGCAATTTGAGGAATGTACCATTGCAATAAGGATCACTGTAAAGATGTAAATATATATTTAATTGCATTTCAGTAAACTGTTAAATGTATTGCATGGCTCTTTCTTCTCCTAACCTGGGGATACCCTCTGGGAATCAACTGGTGCCTGGTGAGCCTGCTATCACCATAGGGCCTTCAATAAGGCCTAAAGCAGGCATGGGACAGACCATTGGTGGTGCTGGGTAGGCCACGCTAACTTATCAGTTAGATCCAAGGGGTACCAGGGGAGGATCCGGTACTCAAAGTACATGGAAGCCATGTGTGATTCTTTCAGTTTTTATTCGATTTTTTTCGGACAAAAATTTCATTTTTGGAGATTCGGATGTATGTGAATCTCCTAATAGACAGAGAATGAAAACAAAAAAAAACAGAAAAAAGTTATAACAAAATTAATGAATGCATTTGTTTTGTTTGGATGATGTCACATGATGCGATAGTAGTTAGGGCCCATGCAGAAATTAATAAAAAAAAAAAATTTTTTTTTTTTTTCTTCAGAATTTTTTTTTAACACATAAACAGATACACAAGATAAAAATATTTAAAAAATACTTAACAAAGCAAAAGTACAAACAAAACACACAAGAAAACCCCAAAACACTCAAATCTACTCAAAACAACAAATGAGTGAGGAGCATTGTAACAGACAAAAAGAGGACCAATATTACATGCTGGGCCCTTTTTCATAAACTAAACAGTAACAATACCAAAAGGGGCCTGCATCCTAGCTGGAAAGTGGACTCATGTGAGCTAACCAAGGTGACCAAATTGAGTCAAACCTCTTAAATGAATTTCTGAGAACGTGTGTCAATTATATAAAATGCACCTATTGAGATCAAATATCCAATCAGGGTCAGAGTGTGCAGGGAAGACCACTTAAGGGCAATTTACCATGACCAGTGCACGTATCGCAGTATTCCGCTTTGGTGGCTTAAGTAGTGAAAAATCAACATAACCCAATAGACATGTAAGAGGATCCCCTGGAAGATCCAAATCTAATAGCCCATTAAGTGTTCCCACAACCTCCACCCAGTACCGCTGGAGTTTTGGATAACACCACAGTAGGTGTATCAAGGACCCCGAATTACCACACCTAGCACAAGCCGGGTTGTCTCTGTGGCCTATAGTACACAGAAATTCTAGGATCCTATACACCCTATGGAGAATAAAACCTGGGTTAACCTATGTGAAAAGGAAATTGTAACAAGAGGGATAACCCAAAGGATCTCTTCCCAAACATTGTTAGGGCTGGGCCTTATATCCTGTTCCCACTTTTCTCTAGAGGGAAGATAGAATTTATGAAAAGAGCTCTCTAAAAGGGCTAAGCAGGTAGCAGAAATAAGTCCTTTAGTGGAAGTTGCTTGAATTATTCTATCCAGAACTGGGACATGGGAAAACCAATTGGGAAAAAAGAAAATTGCATGTGCAAAGCATGGTGCAACTATAGAAATTGATAGAAACATCAAGGGTTCAAAGGGAATTCCATTATTAGCTGCTCAACAGATTAAAGTGAACCCTTTTCATATAGGTTTCTAAAGAGTATGAATTCCTACTTGTTCATCTCTGAAAACTTTGCAGGGTAGATAGCTACGGGAGTCTACCATTACCCCAAAAAGGGGTATATTTGGTGAGAGAAGATAATAATAATTTCTTGGCAGAGTCCCAAACCATAAACAGCACTATGCAGGTCGGCAAGTTGGATTAAACAGAACACCTTGACATCCCCTCCAGGGTGTGTAGTGATCGGCGTCCTTGAAACACTAGGATTTGGTACTGCTAGATCACCAACCATCTTTGGGTATTGTAAAAGTTCCATCTGAATATGGGGAACTTTATTCCTCCAAATTACATTTCTAAATATACCACTGACCTTGCTAAAGATCTTCAGGGGAATCCAGATTGGGGAATTATGTAAAAAATATAAAAGTTGGGGCATCCATATTTTTATTATGTTTATATTACCTATTACTGGAGAAAATGTCTACTTCAAACTTTACTTTAAATTTGAAACCTTGACAACAATGGCGCGACATTGTCTGATATATATGTTAGGGGAGAAGTTGTCATTGTCACGCCCAAATATTTAAAAGAAGAGACAATTTTAACATGTGCCAAGGTTGGTGGTAAAGCATTAGTCAAGGGATCTGATGGCAAACCTGAGAATCTAGCAAACTCATCTATATAGTTTACAGTATTGCTGCTGGCAGAGACAATGGAAGATTTAATAGAAATAACAAGGCATCATCGGTGCACACTGCACTGACCTCTGCATTTTATCCTTCAGAGAGATCTCTATGTGCACATTGTGTTGGTGAAAGGACTGTG